CACTTTTTAATTAGTATATTTATTCATTATTCAACAAATATTTAAGCATCTGCTGGGCACCAGGCACTATGTTAGGAGATACGGAAAAAAAGAAAACCTACACATCTTACTCATGTAGAGTCAAAGGTATCAGGTAATTTAAAATTCTCTGTGCATCAGTTTCCTCATCCATATAATGGGGATCTGTAAAAATTGGGATAACTCAGTTGTTGTAAGGGTTAAATGAGATATTGTATGGAAAATGCCTTGCTTAGTGCCTGTCACATAGTAAGTGCCCAGTAGATTATACCTATTATAATCTTGTGAAGGACTTGATACACTGCCAAGTGCAACGAGAAGCAGAATGACACGTTCTTTTTTGTGTGTGTGAGGAAGATCGGCCCTGAGCTAACATCTGCCAATCCTCCTCTTTGCTGAGGAAGACTGGCCCTGGGCTAACATCCGTGCCCATCTTCCTCCACTTTATATGGGATGCCGCCACAGCATGGCTTGACAAGTAGTGCATCGGTGCACGCCTGGGATCCAAACCGGCGAACCCTGGGCTGCCGCAGCGGAGCACGCACACGTAACCGCTTGCGCCACCGGGCCGGCCCCGACACATTCTTTTAATATATTGTCTCCAGACAAGATATTTTAGCTATTCCTGGGACCCTGTCAGCTCTATAGCATTAGAGCCTTTCCTTTAGTCCTAATCCTATGAAAGTGTGACTCTTTCTGAGGATCTCAGTAATAAAGCTTCTTTCTAAAAGTCAGAGCTATAAAAAGCCATGCATAGACTCTATCAGTGGACGATTGGGTTGCTCCAGTTTTTCACTCTTGTAAACAAGACTGAAGTGAACAGCCTTGTACATCTTTGTACACTTCTCTGATTATTAACATAGAATCTATTTCAGGGCTTTTTCTATTATACCATATATCTTGGAAGTTCATTTTCCCTAAATCATTTCAGGTCTTTGAAGTTTTTCTCAATTCAGATGAGCTCTGCCAGTTTGTAATGACTACATTGGATGGCCTGAAAAATCCGTACACCCAGCAATCAGCAGGAGAATTGCTGATAACATTGGTGGAAAATGCAGAGTCCAGATTTGAGAAGGTAAAAAGCTCAGTGGCCATTTCCCAGGTTTGAAATAATGGCAAGACCTCTCCCCTCCTGCAGCTGCTGAGGTCTCCTCTGCTGCTCCTATTCAGCTGAGAACAACTACCAATGGGGACCAGCCAGGATCAAAGCCTTAGTCCAGTAGTCAATGTTGAACATTCATCCAGTTAACAAGCGTATAATAACCACCGTGTATGCAACTAGGGAGGGAGATTTTTAAAAATCTAAGTTGTGCCCATATTTTCCAGAAGAGTATAGTTTTTCTGGGAAGATATAATTAACACATATAAGAAAAGTAACTTCAATTTAGACTCTCATCTAGCTTAATTAAAGGCGTCAAATTTTAAAAAGTCAAGCTATCAGTGATCCTATAAGGAAGCTGACTTAGTAAGCTTAAAATCAAGAGAATTTGTTTAAATTTATTTAAAATTGATACATCGAGAAAACACAATATGATTAGATCATCTAGAGATATGGAAGGACATACTGGAAGAGATAAAAGGAATGAAAGCAATAGTCTCTGGAGAGCAGACCTAGGGAATAGGCAGGAGAGAGCCTTGAAATACCGTTACCGGATACATACCCAGGTTCTTTACCTGCCACACAAGAGGGGCCAAATAAAACTAGAATGCCAGGCTTATGGCAAGGAAAGAGTTTTTATTTCGGGTGACATCAGCCAGGAGACAAGAGCTCTCACATTTGTCCCGTCTCTCGGAAAGATGGGAGGCAAGGGGTTTTAAAGGTTGTGAGGAATGTGGCTGCTGGTAGGGAGGGGGAGCCTGTGGCCTTGCTGATCAGCACTTTCCACCAGCCTGTGTTTGGCCTTGTGAGGCTGCTGACAGGGAGGAGGATGGCGAGATAAGGGAATCACAGGTGGGTGTCCTTCAACCGTCTCCCCCGTCTCTGTGGTGGATGGTGGATTCTGGCGCCAAGAAGCCGAGGAGTTGAGGTCTGAGAAGCTTTAGCTTCTTGATATCAGTTTCCCTGTAACAAACCTTAAGAACTGGTAATTAGCCAAAACACCAGCGTGAGCCCAGCTTGAGGCCATCTGGGCTTTTAACAATTTGTAAAACAACCAATATCGATGTGTGAATGTCACTTAGAGAAACAGGGGAAGAGGATGAGTGCTTTTGGTTTTAACCCCATATATGCTGGGTTTAGTATAGGGGAACTGATATCAGGGCCGGCATCAATACCACTGGACTTTTTAAATTGTGTGCATGTGGCACTTTGATAAAAATAAAAAGTAATTTTAAAATGATGAACACCCAGGAGCCGGCCCCGTGGCTTAGCGGTTAAGTGCACGCTCCGCTACTGGCGGCTGGGGTTCGGATCCCCGGCGCGCACCGACGCACCGCTTCTCCGGCCATGCTGAGGCCGCGTCCCACATACAGCAGCTAGAAGGATGTGCAACTACGACATACAACTATCTACTGGGGCTTTGGTGAAAAAAAGGAGGAGGATTGGCAATAGATGTTGGCTCAGAGCAAGTCTTCCTCAGTAAAAAGAGGAGGATTAGCATGGATGTTAGCTCAGGGCTGATCTTCCTCACAAAAAATAAAAAATAAATTAAAAAAAAGATGAACACCCATTTTTTTAACCTATTAAAATAGCAAGGATGCAAAAAGAGCAGTATGATGAGAGCATGATGAGATTGGCACTTGTACCGGTTGGGTGCTTTCAGCTGTGAGAAGCTTAAACAAAGGGTTTACTATTTCATATAGTAAGAAGTCTAGAAGTAGAGTAGATCTTCTAGATTGGTTCACGGACTAAACAGTGTTGTCAAAGAGCCAGGGGCTTTTCCAGCTTTCCACTTTGCCTGTTCATATAGTCATAAGATAGTCGCTGCAGTTTCAGACTTTATGAGCAGGTAAGACGAGACTATCCAGCAAAGAAGAGAGATGTTGCCTTCCTTTTGTCCCTTTAATCAGAGAGGAAAATCTTTCCCAAAAGCCTCCAGTAGATTTTCCCTCATGTGTCACTGGCCAGAATCGCATCACTTGCCCATCCTTAAACCAATTTCTGGAATTGGTGATAATGACAGCCATTTAATGTAAGGTTGTTGAGGACTGCCTCTCCGAGAAGCTGACGTTTCCGCAGAGACCTGAAGCCGTGAATTTATGAGCAGGAAGAGCAGTCCAAGCAGAGAAATGGACCAAAGCCCCACGGCTCCTGTTTCCTTTACCTGAGCGTGATAGACACCACTGGGAGGAAGGCAGGTGACTCCTCTGCCATTCTCATAGTCAGAGTGGAAGAGACCCCAGCTTCCTTGTAACACTTTTATTAGTTTGTCCTATTATAAAATCAATACATAATCATTAAA